GATTGGTCAAGCTGCGCCCTCTCTGCCAGCACCTGTGTAGAAGGAAGGCTCCTCCGAGTCAGAGTGATCTCATCAGCTGCCCGGAGCTCGGCTAGTCCAGCCCGGATCTCAGTCATGCGGTGGCTGCCCAGTGGGCAGAGTGGCTCAAGGAACTGTCTGGGAAGCCACAGAAGCCACGGTGAGAAGGGAAGAGGCTGAGGACCCTCGCAGGCCACAATGGACAAGTTTCGGATGATCTTCCAGTTTTTGCAGTCCAACCAAGAGTCCTTCATGAACGGCATCTGCGGCATCATGGCGCTGGCCAGTGCCCAGATGTATTCTGCCTTTGACTTCAACTGCCCCTGTTTGCCGGGCTACAATATGGCCTACAGCATGGGCATTCTGCTGACGCCTCCCCTGGTGCTTTTCCTGCTTGGCCTAGTCATGAACAACAACATTTCCATGCTAGCGGAAGAGTGGAAGCGCCCCGCGGGCCGTCGGGCCAAGGACCCCGCCGTGCTACGCTACATGTTCTGTTCCATGGCCCAGCGAGCTCTCATCGCACCTGTCGTCTGGGTGGCCGTCACACTGCTGGATGGCAAGTGCTTTCTCTGCGCCTTCTGCACAGCGGTGCCAGTGGCCACACTAGGCAATGGCAGCCTGGTGCCCGGCCTGCCTGCGACAGAACTGGCTCGCCTGCTGGCTCGCGTACCCTGCCCTGAGATCTATGACGGGAACTGGCTGCTGGCCCGAGAGGTGGCCGTGCGGTATTTGCGCTGCATCTCTCAGGTGAGGGGGCTGGGTCTCCTCACAGTCCAGGGTCCCTCTGGGAAGGTCCCTTCTCAAAGTGGGGATTTCCCTCAGGCGGCTGTGGGTTGAGGCAAACATTCCGAGCCGAGACTCCAGGCAGAGCCCATGTCTTCTCTCAGCCAGCTTACCTGGAGAGGTGTATGGTTTCCCACCTCCTCCATCCTGGGCTCAAAGCTGAGAGGCTGAGCGAAATTTGCATTCATTTCCTTTCCCAGGCCCAGGCAGCAGTGAGGCCGGTGGGAGGCTAAGCCATTTGGGTACATTTCCCTGGCAAATGCCCCCAGCTGGTGCCTCCCTGCTCTGGGAGTGGAAGCTGAGGGTCTGGGTATCTTGAGCAGGGTGAGGGAGATGATGGTTGGGAGCAGGCTTTAAGGACCAACTGTTCATCACGTCCTGGGGCAGTGAATTGTGTGATGAAAGGGACAGGCAGGAGGCAGTGTCTGCTTCAGTGGGGCTAGAGAAACATGCACACTCTGCCCTGGCCAGTGCAGACCCCCCCCCCCCGCCTCTGGGGAGGCTTTTCTCTGTACAGCCCCTGTCACCACCCAGATGACCTCTCCAACTGTGACTGTCTACACTATCCATGGGCCCTTGCCCCATCACCCTAGGCCTCAGGCCCTGCCTGGAGCCGCTGTCAGTCTGCTTGGCTTTTAAACTACCACACTGTGGAAGCTGGAAGGTCCCCCCAGAGGCCACAGGCAGCCTGGTTGTAGACAAGCCCCTGTGACTTGTAGAGACTGAATTATGAAGTCACTTTAGAAATGACTTTATCTAGAAATCAAATTGTCAAAAGAGAGCAAATCACTTGGAACATGCGAAAACCCAAGTCCTCTGTGACCCCAGTGGCTTAGTAAGCAACATGGGAAGCAGCTCCCTGACTGAGTTAGATGTTTGAATTCTCCCACCGCCCCCACGGCAGCCACTGGGCACCCCTAACACCACAGCCACCCCTACCCCCACTTCCTTGACTTGTGATGGGAGTTAGGCGGGTCCTGCCCTGTGCCCTGCGCTGAACTACTGTCAGAGATGTGTCCTGTGCTCTCTGATGGAGTTCAGGGACTGTCCAGTGTGTCTCTGGAATTCCTTGAGAGTCCAGCTCAGACCGGTGGAGGGAGTGTTCACTTAGAACTGGTGTCATTCCCAGAAGCCGGAGGAAAGCCCCAGGGCTCCCAATAGGCCTGGGGGAGCCAGGAGAGACCTTCTGAAGGAAGAGGCATGGCCCCAAGCGGTGCCACCATGATGTCTAACAGAGTTATATCCGGGTTGTCTTACACTCGTCGTTTCATTTGTCTCTCATAGAGCCCTGTGAGGTAGGTGTTACTGCCAGTAGACCCAGCTTCGAAGTAGAGAAACCAAGACACAGAAAGATCAAGTGGAAACAGGATTCATACCCAGGAGGCCTCACTCTGGGGTGTGGAGTTAACTCCTGTCCACTGAGTGCCTTTCCAAAGCAGCGTGGTCTATGCTCCCAGGATCTGGTTCCTGCGAGGTGAAATATGTGGCCATTTTACACATGGGGAGATAGAGACCAAGAGGTGGTGTCACGTGGTCCATGGCTGCTCTCCTCTGTAGAAGAGAAGCACCTTAGGGGTCTGGGCAGGTAGGTCTGCTGACGTCCACCTCTCCCCACAGGCGCTGGGCTGGTCCTTTGTGCTGCTGACCACGTTGCTGGCATTCGTTGTGCGCTCTGTGCGGCCCTGCTTTACCCAGGCCGCCTTTCTCAAGAGCAAGTACTGGTCGCACTACATCGACATCGAGCGTAAGCTCTTTGATGAGACATGCACGGAGCACGCCAAGGCCTTTGCTAAGGTATGCATCCAACAGTTCTTTGAAGCCATGAACCATGACCTGGAACTGGGTCACACCCACGGAGTGCTGGCCACGGCCACGGCCACAGCCACAACCACGGAGGCTGCTCAGAGCCCCTCTGACAGGACGGAGGAAGAGAAGGAGAAGCTGCGTGGTATCACGGACCAAGGCACCATGAACAAGCTGCTCACAAGCTGGCACGAATGCAAACCTCCACTGCGCCTGGGCCAGGAGGCACCGCTGATGGGCAATGGCTGGGCTGGGAGTGAGCCCCGGCCTCCACGCAAGGAGGTGGCCACCTACTTCAGCAAAGTGTGAGCTGTCACTGACTGCAGAGGCAGGAGCAGAGATCTGAACCCACAGCCCTTTGCCCCCTCTGTGGAAAACCAACTCTGAGGCACAGCTCCAATTCCAGGCAGTCTGCTACTGTGAAAAAGGAGACCTGGGGCTGAAGGACCTCCCTAGCTGTGATGCTGCCCCAGTGACCCGGGAGCAGTGTCACCCTGCGCCTCGCCTCCTGCTGATGCAGTATTACAAGTGTCCAGGTCTGGGGTGGGAGCAGGATGCGTCGTACCAGGACTGGTACCCGAGTCCCTTCCCCAGCCTCCCTGTGATGCTCTTCCTTCCATCCCTGCTCACTGTCTCCACTTCGGCTTCCAAAGTCCACACCCCAGCACTTCCTCTTGCTCTAGACTTCTCTTGTGTTCTGGCTCAAGGATCCGAGGGCAAGCAGCCCTCTCATAATCTTACCCAGTTTCTTGGGGAAGGTAGAATGGGTTAAATGTCACACACTCAGCTGGTGTGACACGCCTGAGTGACACGTGATAAGATGCCGAGATCTAGGACCATAGAAGGGAGGCCACGGTATGTGTCACGGGGGCCATTAGACAGCTTTTGAAACAGACTCCACGTTTACCTCACACCAAGTTCCAAATTAACATCCTCCCACGATCTTAGGGAAGCAGACCATCATGGGGCTTGAGAGCGAGAAATGGAATCTGAAGAACTCTTATTTTCTCATAGGCTCCCTGAGGAACTTGCCCTGAGGTGTGGGGAAGATGAGGGTGTTGCCTAAGAGGGGAAGTAAAGACTAGGGTGGGATAGAAATGGGTTAAATGCTGGTTCTAGCATTTGCAAAGTGTCCCTGGGCCGAGCGCCCCATTTTCTGGGCCTCAGTTTCCTCATTTGTGCAAGAGGGAGAGGGCCATCTACCTCACGGGTTCCCCATGCATAAATTCACGCTGCACATAGTGGACATCTGGGGCAGTGTGGTTAATGTGCGCGTTCATCTCTGAGGCCCTGGGCTGCTTGCTCTCCCCTCCCCTGACCCCAGCCAAGGGACAGGAATCTTGCCCAAGCAAAGGAAAGAGAGGTGCAGGCTCCCATCTTTCAGCCCTGTTCACCTCAGAGCTCACTCTGACCTTCCCATTTCCGTTTTCCCTCATCCACCATCCTTCCACTCTCAGGAGGAGCCCCAGGGCCTGGTGGCAGGGAAGAGAGTGGAACACGGCTCCAGCCCTGAATGAAGGGACCAGATGAACACAGACCGAGTAGGCATTGGTGTGCGGGGGAGGGGGGGCTTCCGCTCAGGACAGAATGCCAGAAAGTGCTTGGAGAAACAGATGTGAGAGAAAGCTTTGGGGAGACCTGGGCTTCCAACACCAGAGTGGCGGGAGCTAAGGCTAGTCCCCCAGTTTGTAGAGTGCTCGTGAAAAAGCAAGGATAAAGAAATAAGGATCCCTCTCCATCCCTGCCACACACACAAGCCAGACTAGAGAGGGGGCAGGTTCAGCTTGCCACAGGGTGTGAGTTCCAATGTCACAGCCCTGGAGAGCTGATGGCCCCGGGGCTATCTCTCTAAATCCTAGGTGCCACTGGGTCCATCTTGGCACTCTCCCCATCAGCGTACCTGACTCATGACTCTCCAGCCTTGTGCTTGTGAGCTTCCCAAAGATAGGAGCTCATGACCACTCCAGGGACAGGCAGGGCAGCTTAGAAACCTCCTTCCCTTTAATTTCTACCTCTGCCCAGCCTCTGCCCTAGGCACCCAGAGGATCCCCAGATTCCTTGATTCAGCTGTACAGAGGAGGATGGAGAGGTGCCTGGGAGTTAGCTGAGCTGTGGTGGGTCCGGCTTCTGGGGATAGCTGGTACAGACAAAAGCAGGACGATCGAGAGAGAAGGGCAGATGGGACCGGGGTCTTGACCTTTTGTATTTTGGAACATCACCATCAGTCCTGAACGCCAGCCTCTGCCCTGACTCCCAGAAGCCTCTGCCAGTGGGCGTCTAGCATGGGGGCTGTTCTTTAAACTGGCCTGGAGGGCGAGCCTGGGCAAGATCTCCTGGAGGGCCTCGCCTCACTCTTGTCTAGACCTTCCCAGATGGCCCCCGAGGGGTGCACAGGGTAGAGTCGAGGCAGGGCCAGTAGAGCCAGCCACAGCGGGCCCAGAGGCGGGCTGGGACAGGACACAGCAGCCTAGACCGCTTCTCTACTTCCTCTGTCTCGCGCCGCCCTCAGCAGCCCGCCCTCCTCTGCCTGGCGCTGGGAGGCTGTTTTTCCATTCGCCGGCGAGAAAGTTCCATGCCGCTGTTTCTGTCTCTCTTTTTCTGGAGTTAAATTTGTCTGCAGATGCCTGCACTTCCACCTATAGACGCCTGGCGTTAAGTTTGTTTGTAACCGGAGCCCAAAGCCCCGTTGCTTTCAAAACGCAAAAGCGGTGAAGCCGCCACCGTGAGGCCCACTTTGTCTTGCAGCCCTGAGTCTGTCCAGGGGTCCGCAGTGCCCACGCTCCAGGAAGTCAAGACCACGGGTGTCTGCTGCCAGCCCCAGGTAAGGAGGCGCCCCTTCCTGGGGTGTGCTTGTATCAAAGTGACTGGCAGGTTGATCCCAGGCAGCCTCCAGGGATTGTGTGGCGAGGAAACCCCTGGTTTAGGGGGTAACAATCTCAGAAGATGGCCTGGTCCGGCCTCTACTCATTACCCACAGATCAGGCATTTTGTACTTTAACATTGGGTGGGTTTAAGGGCCCAGGGCCACTACTAATTGGGTGCCAGGAAGGGAGAAAGGGAGGAACAGAAGGGAGAGAAGAAGGGACGGGAGGGAGAAAGGGAGGGGTGGGGGGCCTCTAGCCTGTTTATCGCCAGCAGCAGGACGAGGTCCCTTCCTTGTGGGATTATTCAGGCTCTCTGGGCTCTGAACTCGGGAGTCAGACTTGGCCTCCTCCTCCTGGAGCCCACATAGCCACATGGCCCTGCCTGTGCCCATCTGGCATCTTTGACAGAGGCGGCAACAGGAAAAGGGATGCGGCTATGAGCCGGCACAGGCTCCCCTGTCCCTCCTTACAGCTAGCCCCTTTCTCCACTTCCAGGCTTCTTTTGGCCTTGGAAGTTTTGTTTTTTGGTTTGGTTTTTTTTTTTTTTTTTTTTTCATTCCCCTGCTGAGATGGACACGGAGCCACACCCTGCCTGTCTCTCCGGGTGTGTGGGTGGAGCCTGGGAAAAGAATTAGGGCTAAACTTCTAAAGAGCCCTAGGCCAAGGCCACTTCTGGCAAGGTCCCAACTCTCCTGCAGTCACCGATTCAGGGGAGGATGGATGGGTACGGTGGGCCTGGACCCCACTAAAGCTGCCTGTGACTGGCAAGTGCCGAAGGTGTCAGGCCTAGGCTTCTTGGAGCAGTGCTCCTGCAGGATGCTGGGTAGGGAAGTTTGAGGGGAGCAGGGTCTGAAGGAGGTTGTGAACAGGGGCACTAGCTTAGCTCAGACTTATTTTGTCCACAAGTCATGATCAAAACCTCCCCCGACTCCTCCAGATTTGCCTGGCCTCGGGCAAGACACCCAGTCCTCCTCGGGTCTTCATTTTCTGATCTTTGCCATCAGAAGACTCATACTCAACCAGTAGACCTGACAGGGTAAGAGTTTGGGATGTTGAACGACTGACAATCAGGCATCATTTGTTGTCCCCTAACGCTCCTAGGAAGGGGTCAGGTACCAAAATGACTTAGCCTTTTCCCAGTTGAGTACAGAGGTCTGGAGAGAAGGTGTGAAGTGTGTTGAGACTGTGAGGTCTCCAAAATGAAAGGGTTTTGTGCACCCAAGGATGCTGGCATCTTGTGTCAAACTTGCCCTGTTCCAGAGGGCCTGAACTCCGCCACCACCACCCACGGTTACAGCAGGCTGTCTTTGTTCACTAGGACAGCTTTGATACCCATATCACATCCTCCACATTGTCCCAAATCCTTAGCAGAGAGAAGTCATCCCCATCACCTAACACCTCTGGCTATGCTTGAGCCTCCTGATGAGAAGCCAGCAGTGGCAAAAAGACCTTCAATTATTCAGGGGAGGCAGACCTGATCTTGAACTTTGGCCAGGAACTGGCTCACCCTCAGGAAGTCTCACCCTTTTCTGGGCTCGAGGTGGGGGGTACACAAGGATGCCAGGGGGTTGCCAAGGATACTGTATAGACTCGTGAGGATAGGCACCATGGATTGAGAGCACCTGGCACCTGGCAGCAACCATGGGTACCACCATTTCCGTGGGGGCCCTGTGCTCCCTCCTCCCTTACCTGCTTGACCACAGCGGCATCCCTCAGCCCGTGTTCAGAGGTAACCATTATCAGTCATCTGTGTTTCACAGGAAGCACCAGTTCGGCCACCGTAGGTGATAAAATGGCATAGTCATGCTCTGCCATCGGATGTCCTCCTGCCTGAGCTCCTTCCGAGTCTCACCAGAAGCCACCAGTTCCATCATCCTCTGCTGCCTCCTCCTAAGCCCCTAGCCCACCAGTCACCATGGCTGCCTTGATCGCAGAGAACTTCCGCTTCCTGTCTCTCTTCTTCAAGAGCAAGGATGTGATGATTTTCAACGGACTGGTGGCCCTGGGCACAGTGGGCAGTCAGGAGCTGTTCTCCGTGGTGGCATTCCACTGTCCCTGCTCACCTGCCCGGAACTACCTGTATGGGCTGACAGCCATTGGGGTGCCTGCACTGGCGCTCTTCCTCATCGGAGTCATCCTCAACAACCACACTTGGAACCTAGTGGCTGAGTGCCAGTATCGGAGGGCCAAGAACTGCTCCGCTGCCCCCAACTTCCTTCTCCTAAGCTCCATCCTGGGCCGTGCAGCCGTGGCCCCTGTCACCTGGTCCGTCATCTCTCTGTTACGAGGGGAGGCCTACGTCTGTGCTCTCAGTGAGTTTGTGGACCCCTCCTCGCTCACAGCTAGGGATGAAGGATTCCCCTCAGCTCACGCCACGGAGATCCTCGCCAGGTTCCCTTGTGGAGAGGGCCCTGCCAACCTGTCGGGCTTCCGAGAGGAGGTCAGCCGGAGGCTTAAGTATGAGTCCCAGGTAAGGAGCTGTGTGAAGGGCAGCCTTCTTCCTCCCCTCCCACAGGGGAGCTGGTGGGGTGGGACGCAATCGGATGGTCCAGTGTTAAAATGGGCAGCTCTCCAGGGAAGCCCTAGGTGACCATGTTAGACCTCAGAGTAGGTAACTGTGACAGTGTTCTGTGGAGCAAGGGACGATTCATGATCACAGGGACGTGTCTCTGATTTGCCTTTGGGTGCTAGGAATGGAACCCAAGTCCTCATGAATGCCGAGCATGTGCATGTGCTCTGCCACTAGGCTCCACTTGCAGCTCCTAGAGACAGTTTTACGCACTAAGGAATCCCAGAGAAAGCATCCCACATCCCATTACACCCCTGGGCCATTCCTAATCTACCTGCTGAGAGTATTATCCTTACCCTAGCTTAGTGGGCATTGCCCCTGCAGGCCACCTCAGAAATAGCTGCTGTGGGCTTTGAGTTGATAGTGGAACCTGGTTGACTCCAGGGATGACCGTATTCCTGCCCCAGCAGTGAGCCAGCCTCACTCTTGGGGCAGGTCAGGAAGAGGCAGGCTACTGCTGCTTCAGCTAGCTACAGCCTTTCCTGCATCCTGTTTGGAAGTTGGTCTAGGGGAAAGAGGTTGAAAGAATGCCTGGGGCTAGGGAAATGGCTCAGCAGTTAAGAGCTCTGGGTCCTCTTCCACAGGACCCAGGTTTGAGTCCCAGCACACACATGGCAGCTCACAACCAGCTGGAACTCCAGTTCCAGGGGATCCAGCATCTTCACATAGACATACATTCAAGTGAAACACCAATGAACATAAAGAAATAAAAATAAGTCACAAGCATAGTTTGAACTGATTGTAACTTCAGAAGCAGAGGATGAGGGAGACACAAGACTCTCTAAAGGATGCTCTTTCCGGGGGCTGGAGAGATGGTTCAGAGGTTAAGAGCATTGCCTGCTCTTCAAAGGTCCTGAGTTCAATTCCCAGCAACCACATGGTGGCTCACAACCATCTGTAATTGGGTCTAGTGCCCTCTTCTGGCCTGCAGGCATACATAATAACTAACTAAATATTTTTAAAAAAGAATGCTCTTTCCACAAAGACATATAAAACCTAAGCTAGGGGCTGGAGAGAACCTGGGGCACTGCTCCTTCAGAGGACCTGAGAGTTCAGTTCCCAGCACACACATGGTAGCTCACAACCATCTGTAATTCCAGTTCCAGGGGATTCAATGGCCTCTGGGGGCACTAGGCACACCCATAGTGTACAGACTTATGTGCAGGCAAAACATTCATAAACATTAAAAAAGAAAGGAAGGAAGGAAATCAGAAAGAAAAAAAAGAAAGATAGAAAGAAAGAAACCCAAGTTAGCTGCCTGTACTGTATCTTGCTGTAATCCACTACTAGGGAGGTAAACTTAAGAGGATCTGAGTTTTCTAGCTACATAGTAAATTAAGGGCCAGTTTGGACCATCCTCTCAATGAAGAGGAGGAAGATTGGAGAAGTGGCTGGGTAAAGACTGAAGTATGGCTCTTACAGAAGACCTGAGTTCAGTTCCCAACACCCACGTTAGGCAGCTCACAACTACTTGTAACTCTAGCTCTAGCTCCAGGGAATCGGATACCCTCTGGACTCTGCAATCCACCAAAAAAAAAAAAAAAAAAAAACCTTCTCAATACATGTACATACCCCAACACATGTACATACTCCCCAACACATATATATACCCCAAGACATGTACATACCCCTCAACATATACCCCAGTACAAGTATATATCCCCAACACATATACATATCCCCAACACATACTCTAACACATATATATACATACCCCAACACATGTACATATCCCAACATATACCCCAACACATGTACATACCCCAACATATACCCCAACACACATGTACATACCCTCAACACATCCCAACAATTACATGTACCCCAACAGATGTACATACCCCCAACACATATACATACCCCAACACATGTCCATACCTCAACACATATCCATACCCTCAAAGCATATACATATCCCCTGACACAGGTAAACCCTTTCAACACACAACATCTAAAATAATTCTTTAAACAGTAACAACACAAGGGAAAAGTGAGGCTAAGATGGAGCTCAGTAGAACGCATGCCTAGCACACATCAGGTCCTATGTTCGACCCCTAGCACCGTATAAACTAGGTGTGGCACATGCCTGTACCCTAGCACGCAGGAGGCGGAGGCAGGAGGAGCAGAAACTCAAGACTATCCTCAGCTAAACAGTACTTGGGCCAGCTTGGGCTACATGAGACTCTGTCTTGGGGTGGGGGCAGGGAGGAAGCAGAGAAAGGGGGCTAAAGTCAGCGTCAGAGCTGGAAGATGGTAAATACAGAAATACTGGTCACTAATCCACGGGTTTATAGACGAGCAGTAGGCAAAGACTGCATCGAGGGTCCTGGTCCTCTGCAGACTCGCATCTGCCTAGTGGGAAGCAAGCACACAGGCAATTGCTCTAAGGACAGTGATGTGTCAGACTGAGACCTCTGAAGCCGTCAGAGAAGCATCTGAGCTGACCCACACTTTGAGTTTTTCTTTCTTTTTTGTGGATGGGAGCCTCGAATGCTTAACGTGTGCTCTGTGGCTGAGCTCCACTCCTGGCTCCTGAGCTGGGTTTGGTGAAAATGCACCCTTGGGGCTGAAGAATAAAAAAGGCAGGAGGCGCAGCCTAAGCTCGGAGAGTGTGTGGGCTAGAATTAAAAATAGAAAGAGGAAGTCCTGCTTGCCGCAGAGCAGAATCTGTTCCTTTTCCACGGGCTCCCCCATAGCCCCTCCACCAGGCTCCGTCCCCCCCACCCCCACCCGGGCAGGGTCCAGGCAGTCGTCGCCCCTCCCTGAGCCTTGCCTATTCTCTGGCCAGCTCTTTGGATGGCTGCTCATCGGTGTGGTGGCCATCCTGGTGTTCCTGACCAAGTGTCTCAAGCACTACTGCTCGCCACTCAGCTACCGCCAGGAGGCCTATTGGGCACAGTACCGCACGAACGAGGAGCAGCTGTTCCAGCGCACAGTGGAGGTGCATTCAAGGGTGCTGGCCGCCAACAACGTGCGCCGTTTCTTTGGCTTTGTGGCCCTCAACAAGGATGACGAAGAGCTGGTCGCCAAGTTCCCAGTGGAAGGCACCCAGCCACGACCACAGTGGAATGCAATCACTGGGGTCTATTTGTACCGTGAGAACCAGGGCCTCCCACTCTATAGTCGCCTACACAAGTGGGCCCAGGGCCTGGCAGGTAATGGCACAGCCCCTGACAACTTGGAGATGGCCCTGCTCACCTCCTAGAGTCTGCATCTTTGCAACAAACCCTCATGGCATGCCCACCTCAGCATCAGATCTGTTAACTACAGTGTTACCAAGTGACACAAAACAGCTAGGAATTTGTAAGGATCTTGTGGAGTATATGGTCCAGAGAGACTGGGGGATGGGGAGGGGTGGGGTAGGTTGGGGAGGGGGTCTGATTTCCGAGACCTGCTGAAATCATCTGTAGCCACCAACACACTGTTCACAGCTATAGGCTTCCCCAGAGCTGGTCCTTGACTATGTGAGTGATCTTTGATGGGCCTGCAAGCTGAGAAGCATCAGCTGGTGGAGCCTGGTGCCAGTACAACCCACTGGGGGGCTCGCTATTTGTAACTGTGCAGTTAACTTGTGTCTAATTGCATAGGGATGACGAACTCCTGTGTATACAACTAGGAAGCTGTATACCTCTGGTGTAATTTTATATATTTAAACTTTTTGATAAAGCTTTTCTTACTTTAAAAGCCTAAACTGGTGTTTGTGCAATTGACAAGGGTGTATAGCCCATTTTGAGAGGAGATGGAACAGGACTGAAGGGAACCACAAGAGTGGCAGCACCGCAAAGGCAAGTCACATGTCCTGCCCCAGGGTGCAGTCTCTACCTGGTTTCATGTGGTCAGAGGCAGCCTGGCCTTTTGCAGGGGGCGCTCAGGGGGAAACATGGTATTAGAAGATCCTGGCCTGGCCAGGACTTGTACTAAGTGAACTCCAAGAACCAGCGGGCTTCAGCACTTTCTCCTCAGGCCCGCATCAACTAGCTACACACTCAAAACCTCATGCCCTTCCTCCCTTGTCTGTCCTACGTCCTGGCATCCAACCCAGCCATTTCCCACAGAAAACTCAGAGAACAATTTAGGTTGTGAGAGAAAGCTTTTAATTCCCTTAGGCACAATGCCCCCCATCCCAAAAAAACACCAACTGGTAGGGTCTGTGCTGGCAAGCAGACTCGGCTGTGACAGACTTTAGGAGGTCTAGGCTTTGGGAGTGGGTGGAGACTAGATAGTTGAACCAACACTTTCAGCTTTCCTCAGGTTTCCCATCTTCTTCTGGATTCTTCCTCCTTCCTCTTCTCAATCTCCCAGCCTCCACAACAGGGCAGACAGTACGGGCTGACCAGAGACAATGTCTTCCCTACACCCTCTTGGGTATGGCCCAAGAGCTTGCCGAGGGACAAAGTGGGATCCTGACCATGAAAACACTAGCCTTTGCCTTTCGGATCCAAGACTGCAGCAAACTCTCCAGAAAGGAACGCTTGTTTTTCTGAAAGCCCGAGAGACTGTTGCCTGGAAAAACGGAGCAGCCTCAGGAAAGAAAAAGGAAGACGTAATGTGTTACATAAAACAAAACAAGAGCATTAAACCTCAAGGACTGGGTGGAGTCTAGCGGAAGAACACTTGCTTAGCATGTGTAAGGTCTTGGCTCAATCTGTAGAACCCTAAATTAAAAATATATATATATATATATACATATTTTTTAAAACAAGAAGTGATAGTTCACGCCTTTAATCCCAGCACTTGGGAGGCAGAGGCAGTAGATTTCTTAGTTCAAGGCTGGCCAGGTCTACACAGCAGGTTCCAGGCCAGCCAGGACCAGCCAGTGAGGACTCTGTCTCAAAAAAAATAAAAAATAAAAAATTTTAATTTAATTTTATTTTTTAAAAGAGAAAGCCTCTCAGAATTCTTTATTCTGACAGGATTATCTCAGGCATGCTGCAGAAAAAGCAGCACTTAAACTGTCCTCAGACAACCACTTCCTAAGTGTCCAAGGTGCCTGCTGCAGGCTGGGCTGCCTGCTGCTACAGTGTCCAGTGAGCCTAGGGCTACTAGTCCTCCAGTGCTGAGCTCTTGGCCTCCACGTACTCCAGGGCCTTCGCCTTGACAGCCTGCACGTCCTTCTCAGTGCCGTGCTGCTTCTCGTAGTCCAGGTAGCGCTTGAAGAAGAACTTCATCTTCTTAGGGGCCAGGCTCAGATGGATGACGCGTTCAAAGATGTCCCTATGAGGAAGAACACGGAAGCAATTCCCTCAGGGTCCCTACCTCATGACTTCTAGTACTCCCCGACTTGCTCTCAGGCCCTAGGTCCCTGTAATCCTAAGTATGAACTCCTGCCACAGACAAAAGACTTAGCCTGCCTAGTTACATGGTGAAGAGGACAAAGCTACTGGGATGGGATACATAATGACAGAAGCCCAACGTAAGCCCACAGAAAAGTAAGAATGAGGCACTTGTTCTTTCTGGACCCTGCTCTATCTACCCACCTCCAACCCTCCTTGCCTAGAAGGGACTATGGGGGACAAAAGTCAAAGTCTGCCCATGAAGGTTCTGTCAATGAGGGGCAGGCACAATGTGACTCATCTGGGATCCCAGCAGAGGGTTCAGTCAAGTGGACCGGGGGGGCATGACAAAGCTGTTTTTCCATGTCAAGTCAGATAACTGGGAGCTGCCATGGGTGGCTAAACATCACCAGCATGGTCAAAGCCCCCTCCCACCTCAGACCCCACCAGGAGTCAGCCCTGACTGTTGTCCCCCTCACCTGACTTCCTTCTGGCTGCCATGCTTGATGGTCATGTCAATGTAGACTGACCAGACATCTGTGCGTTTTGGGTAGGTGCTCAGTGTGTTTTCAAAAATGGCTTTAGCCCGTTCTGCATCCCCCAGCTGGAACTCTAGCTGGGCAAACTTGGTAATCACGTCCACATCTGTGGAGAAAGGACTGGTCAGAAGCAAGACAACTGCAGAGACCCCTCCCCACAGCACACTATGCTATGGGGACAGGGCTAGTCCAATTCATTGCTCTAGGGCCAAGATCTAGGATATGATAAGAGCTAAACCCCAAAAGGACACTGGGTTTGAAACCAAATACACATACAAGCCTTGCAGACACCCCCATTCTTAGGCCTATGGACAACAGAATCAGTGCTAATTGTTTTCGCTCCTCTGTCTTTTGGGGTCCAGCATCTGACAAGCACATCATCAGCTCTCCTAATTCAGGAGCGACTCCACCCTTTACAAGATCCCACTTGCCGCTTGCAGGTGTCAGGCCTGAGTGTGTTCAGGAACTGGGAAGAGCACTCACGTTCCTTGGTGGGCAGGCACTCCAGGGCTCGCTGCAGCACACGGTGACTGGCCCCAGGCTGACTCCTCCGCAAAACAAAAGCGCCATATTTGATCCAGACAGCCTTCTCCTGCCGGAAGCGTTTCAGCATCCGGCTGTACAGCTCACCTGCTTCCTGTGGAAAGATACAAAAGGAAGGAAAGGACAAGATGTGGTGTTCCAGGAAGGTGGGGAGGCTGGGAGGGAGGAGTCTCCGAGTAACCTCTCCAGGGAAGAAAGTCCCGGACAGAAGACAGGTGTGAGAATAGCAAGGGAAAGCAGAGGGAAGGGGCCTAAGAGGCTGGAATGGGACAGTACAGGGGACCCAGGAGGTGGGGTTCTCACACACTGCTGGCCTGTTCAAAAGCCTGGTGGCCAGGGGCAAGTAGGTCCAGAGCCTAACATCTTACCTGGAACTTCTCTGACTTGGTGTAGATGTCAGCCAGATGCAGGAAAACCTTCAGAGGCTCGTTGTACTGCACAGCCCGCTCGAAGACCTTAGTCAAGGACTCCTGAGAGCCGTACATGTTTTCGAGGTTCAGCAGTGCCACCCACACATTCAGCTTTTCCTGCTCCTCTCTGGAGGTGGAGTGGGTAGAACATGAGTTCCATCAATTCAGAGTTGGAGGCCCAGAACTAGCTTTCTCCCAGGCAACAACTATCTATGTCCTCAAGTCTCACCTGAAGTGCAGATACTGAGACTCTCCACTGCAGCCCACTGGAAGGGGGACCTAGCTCTTACTGCCACTTCTGGGCCTCCCCATTTCTCCCCCCATACCTGGGAAGGAAGCCTCCAGATTACAAACTGGACTAATATTGAATGGAACAGAATCTTGAGTCTGATTCTCTCCCCCACGAAGGGAGCAAAGCATACAACTGCCACTGCTCTACACCAGGCTTCAGAAAGCCACCTCCGCTCTGCCAAGAATAGGTTTACACCCAAGCGGGTGCCGAGTTCTCCCTGCTTTGCTTGTTTTAAGCCACCAGGAACCTTGCTAGCACACAGAGACTAGTAAATGTTGCTATAGTGATTTCATCGAAGAGGACCATAAAATATAAATGAGTAATCTGTTTCTGGTGGCCACACTTGAGAGATGAGCCTGAAAGACCATGGACTGCCACTAGCCTGTCCAGGAAGAAATGAGCCATGGTGGCAAACTCTGTAAGCCAAGACAAAGTGAAGAGCCTTAGCCCAGACCTGAAGGAGATGGTCTTCAGGGCCCTCTCGGCGACAGCTCGGGCCTTCTCGATCTCAGTGGCCTGCAGGTGGAAAGCCATGTATTGCAGCCACAGGATGGAGCTGTCGGGGGAGCTCAACACCAGCCGGTCAAAATCATCCGCCGACTCAGGCTGTCGCCCAGGGTCCATGAGTGCCTCCTCAATGCGCGACAGCTCCTTCTCTGCCTTCTGTTTCTCCAGCTCCCTTTCCTTCTTGCCCTTCTTCTTCTGCATGGAAGGAAGAAAGTGAGTCACCTGCTCCCTCAATGAAGCCCAGGGAAAGCTGAGGCAGAAGCCATGGGCTCACAGGACAGTCCATGAACCACACCAGGAAGATACCTAGCTGGAAAAGGGCACAGGCGTCTCTGCAAGAGAAGCAATGCCCTGGAAATACGGCACCTTGGCTTGCTGTGGCTTCTCATCCTCCTCGCTGTCTGAACTCTCTCCTCGAAGTGGCAAGGCTGGAGTCAGAGAGTCGAGCCCCACGTCCCAAATGAAGCCTGAAGAGAGCTGCAGCCGGGGCACCTCTGCGGGCTCTGCCTGCTTTCCCTGCAGGATCACAGAGCATTGAGGGAAGCACAGAACAGACTGTTCCCTGTCCCCTGCCTACAGCCATACCAAAGCCCCCCTCAGTTCTCAGTCTCCTGGGGGGACAACAGTAACTTAAAAATCCTCTTTCTAAATCAATTTCTTAGACAATGACTTTGCTTTTTTTTTTTTTTTTTTTTTTTTTTTTTTTTTTTTTTTTTTTTTTTTTTTTTTTTTTTTTTTTTTTTTTTTTTTTTTTTTTTTTTTTTTTTTTTTTGGTTTTCGAGACAGGGTTTCTCTGTAGCTTTTTGGTTCCTGTCCTGGAACTAGCTCTTGTAGACCAGGCTGGCCTCGAACTCACAGAGATCCGCCTGCCTCTGCCTCCCGAATGCTGGGATTAAAGGAGTGCGCCACCACCGCCAGGCAACAATGACTTTGTAAGATACACACACACACTCCCAGTAGTAGGTCTGGGACAGAAATGCTGATGGCAGAAGTACTGACTGACAAACGTGAAGGAGCCCTGCCCCATGGCTGAGACTCCCAAGCCTCTCTGTTCAAGCAGCACCCGTGAGGAGCCTGGGCTCCATCTGCCCACCTCTCTCATTCAGCTCTTGATAAACATGTTATTAATGTTTACAGACCCAGTCAAGGAGCTAGACTGGCTGAGGCAGCTACCCATCAGCCACTGCCTTACAGAAAATGAGATAATGAGGATGGGGCTGGCACAGCAGAGTTCTTTAGGAAGAACACAAGGAGCTTCTCCCCCCAGAAGTCTTTTCCTCCATTTGGTGGTGACCCTTACCCTGGGAAACACCCCCAGCTGCTCCATCTCATCTTCTCCCTCCCGGTAATAGACTTCCACACCACTGTCGTCTTCTTCTGGTGCCCCAGACTGCTTCAGTCTCTTGCTCACTCTTTCCTGAAATGGTGGGGGTGTAGGAAGAGAAGTTTTCTCTTCGCCCTCATGGTGCTCTCACTCTGAGAGAAGGCTGGGAGGCGGGCGAGGCGAGGCTAACCCTCCCCGAGCACCCACCTGTTCACTCGCAGGCTCCTGGCGCTCCCGCTTGCCCTGCCTGCTCCTCTGTGACTTCTGGGGCTCTTTCTTCTCCTGGCTGAACATCTCCGTCTCCTCTTGCCCCTTCTGGTTCTTCTCTTTCCTTTTTTGGCTCTTTTGCTCTTTCTCTTCTCCTTTTAGGGCCCTCTCCTCAGCCCCTTCTTTCCTCTCCTTTTGGTTCAGAAGTGGTGGTTCTGGGGAGGCAGAAAACACGTCCGGCTTCCCAGTGTCGCTGGGAAGAAGTGACAGCTTTACCTGGCTCTTCTCGGGGTTCACGCTAATGCAGGAAGAGAATAAGGGCAGGAAGTAAGGACAGAAGGTGACTGGCACCGCAGGCTGTTCAGTGTCCAGGCCTTCTTTATCAGTCAGAGCTGGCTCTGCCCACCTGCCCTGGAATGCTCAGCATCTCAGGGAGGATTTACACATTTCATCATCTAGGATGGACCTGCTTCAGCACCAACAACAGAGGCCATGTCTACTCCAGGGTGAAGGCTGGAGCTGACATCAAAGGGTTTTCACTCCTTGAGTGCCCATGCCCTCATGTTCTGAGT